CTTTTTCTCTCTTATCTCTCTACTCTCTCCTGCTCAGCTATTTTCATAGATTCCTCTTCCTCTGCTGAACACTTCCTACATCCATTCATTCTGCAAGCACTAATATAATGAGCTGGGCAGAGTCCTCCACCCTGCAGCCCTGTCCCTGGATTCTGGCCTCCTTTCTACACTTTCCAGGGATATCTTATTTCTCCCATGGTCTTCCCCCCCCCCCCAATATATTTTTATTTATTTCAGAGAGGAAGGGAGAGGGAGAGAGAGATAGAAACATCAATGATGAGAGAGAATCATTGACCAGCTGTCTCCTGCATGCCCCACACTGGGGATCGAGCCCGCAGCTCAGGCATGTGTCCTGATTGGGAATCGAACCTTGACCCCTGGTTCATAGGTTGACGCTCAACTATTGAGCCACACTGGCCGGGCCACAATTTTTTTTTTTTTAAATATATTTCTTTATTGATTTCAGAGAGGAAGGGAGAAAGAGAGATAGAAATATCAATGATGAGAGAGGATCATTGATTGGCTGCCTCCTGCACACCCCCTACTGGGGATGGAGCCTGGAACCCAGGCATGTGCCCTTGGCCGGAATCGAACCTGGGACCCTTCAGTCCGCAGGCCAATGCTCTATCCACTGAGCCAAGCCGGCTAGGGCCGGGCCACAATTTTTTTTGACAAGCACTTGCTATGGTCCTGACGGTGTTCTTGCACTGTGAATGCTAACTCGCTTATATCCTAGGACAATGACCTACCAGGAGAGGTGCAGGTCCCATTTGAAATCTGAGACCGGTGTGGCTTGAGCAAGGTGATACGCTCATTGTGTGGCGCAGTGTATCTCCGGGGTCGCCACTGGGCCACTGCACCATGTCTGAGCAGGGGTCTGCCTGCAGCGTCCATGGTATCCCCAGTGCCTGCAACAGTGCCTGCTACCTAGTAGACAATGCTTGCTGCCCGGGTGGCCAAATACCCCTCCTCTCTGCAAAGGACAAAGCCCCGCCCATGTGCTGAATAGGGTGGGGAGGTCCTCCCTCCCCCTCTGCCGCCTCAGCTCCTCTTGGCTGCCCTGCTGTGTGTCTAGATGCCAGGGGTGAGAAATGCCCTTCCCACATTGTCCACTTGATGAATATCAAAACCCCAGGAACTTTCTTTATATATATAATTGATTTTTTACAGAAAGGAAGGGAGAGGGATAGAGAGTTAGAAACGTCGATGAGAGAGAAACATCGATCAGCTGCCTCCTGCACGCTCCCCACTGGGGATGTACCCGCAACCAAGATACATGCCCTTGACTGGAATCGAACCCGGGACCCTTGAGTCCGCAGGCCGACGCTCTATCCACTGAGCCAAACTGGTTAGGGCACCCCAGTAACTTTCAAGCATTGCCTCCTCCACAAAGCCTTCGGGACTGGACACCCCTCCCTCACAGCAGAATTGGCTCCTCCCACATTTGTGCCCTCACAGTAAGTATCCTGAATAGACCAGGTGTATACCCTGCACAGACCTGATGTCCATCAGGGCACTTGTCCTGGCTTATGCCCGATGTACATATAGTTCTTAGACTCTTCCACTCTTTCAAAGGATCTCGGCTTAGAGGCGCATTTACATGGTCACCCGAGACCCCCAAAATGTGCTCTCATGCACACTCATGTTGCAACCCCAGTGCCAAGCATAGTGCCCTGCACAGGCAGGTGCTCTTTCTGGGGAAGGAACACATGAACAAACATTAGGCCTGGTTAAAAATGCCATCAATTTAAGGCGTAGCAGAAAGAGCGCTATCAGAAGACATGGTTTATGGTTCCAATTTCATTACTAAACTAGCTGCATGACCTTGGCCAAGCTGTGTAACATCTTCAGGCCTCAGGCTGCCAGTTTTTTAAGTGATCTGATTGGAGCCATGGCTGGATAGCTCAGTTGGTTGGACCATTGTCCCAATGCGCCAAGGTTTTGGGTTTGATCCCCAATCGGGCACATGCAAGAGTCAACCAATGAATGCATAGATGAGTGGAACAGCAAATCAATGTTTCTCTCTCTCCCTTCCTCTCTCTCAGAAAAAAGAAAGGGGAAAAAAAAGGAACAGTTTACCTGGAATAATAGCTATTAAAGCAAAATGATTTGGTTGGATTAAATGACCTCCAAGCTCCATGCCAGCTCTAAGATTCTGTGATTCAGTGCTAATATTTCCTTCATCAATGAGGACCTAACAGACTCTTTAGGGAAGAAATTAGTGCAATACCAAATAAACACACTGGGTTTGAGAGTGGTGTTGCTGCAGCTCTGAAAGCTATGCAGTGCAGAAACAGCCTTCATTTCTCCTTCTCCAGCTCTGCCATGCTGGGCATTTTTGAAGTAGTGTTTGTTTGTGGTTTTGTTTTGTTTTTGTTTTTTGTTTTTCAATTTAAACTGTAAGCTCGTGAGGGCAGGGTCCAAATCCTATAATTTTTAAATCCTGAGGAGCCAGCAGATGCTTAGAAATTAGTATGTATTTTGTGGTTGATGAGGGTAATGGTCATAAAGAGATCCACTTAGATGTGAGGCAGTTTTAATCATAAGTACATTAAAAAATTAAGAGAAAGCATTGGAAATTAGGGACACTGTTCTACTATTAATTTCATCTAAATTACTTGCCTGTGTAATAAAGAGCAACTTAAATGCATGTAGAAAGAAATATGGTCCCTTCAAGAGGAAGAGTGTGGATTCAGAAAAAGGAAGCCCCTGTAGATTCTATATCTTCCAGCAAGCCAGAAGTGAGAAATCAATTGCCTACTTTTATGCATTTTTAACTATAAAATGCATAAAATATAGGAAATAGTAAATGAATACTAAATGCCAACATGAAATAGAAAATGTTTAAATACTAACATTTATGGAAACCACAAGCTTTCACCAATATAAACAGATGCATTAAAAACATAGATGTGTAGTCCTGGTCCATGTGGCTCTGTTGGTTGAGCTTTGTCTCAAAAGGTCACGGGTTCAATTCCTGGTCAGGGCACATGTCCTGGTTTCAGGCTTGATCCCCAGTAGGGGACGTGCAAGAGGCAGCTGATCAATGTTTCTCTCTCTCCCCCTTTCCCTTCTTTTTTCTCTAAAATCAATAAAAACATTTAAAAAATAGATGGGTAAATCTTGTAATCAGTTAAAATAATAAAGGACTAAGGTATATAGTATCTTCCAAAAAAATAAAAAAAGAGTGTCTCCCACATTCCTTACCAATACAATTACACTGGAATAGACAGTTAATAAGGATATGTGGCTCACCAATCCTATATAATAAAATATGCTAAGTGTCCGGTCTTCCATTCAACCAATCAAAGCATAATATGCTAATGATATGCTAAGGCCGCTCAACTGTTCGCTATGATATGCACTGACCACCAGGGTCAGACACTCTGACCAGGAGGGTCCAATTGATTGGGACTGAGTGAGACGGGTTGGCCAACCTGCCGCATCCCTCCCTGGCCCCAATTGTGCACCCGTGGGGTCCCTCAGCCTGGCCTGCACCCTCTCACAATCCAGGGCCCCTGGGGGATGTCGAAGAGCCGGTTTCAGCCCAATCCCGCAGACCAGGCCGGGGGACCCCACTGGTGCACAAATTCATGCACAGGGCCTCTAGTAAGAAGATAATTAGATCAAAGTATAAGCAGATCTAGTAATTATGACCAATCAAAACATGAACCCTTAAAAATAAAACAAAAAGAAACATCAACTCCAAGCTGTGGCAAATCAAGTATAATTGCAAAAATATAACATGGAAATCTCACCTTAAACACAGTCAATATTTTCTTGTGGTTCCCCCAGAGAGTGCAAAAATAGATTTAGCCAGAAATAAAAGAAGACTGAATACATTTCAGAGTTTAAGTATGTAGCAAACATCTTGGGGGAAAAAGAAGGTTGTCGTTTTAAAATTATACACTTTGAATATAATAAACAGTATAATTAAAGGGGCATTGTGAAAAACAATTGACTGGAGATATTAAGTTTATAATATCACATCAAAAGCGGTGCTCTATATGGACTCTAAAGGCATGGCCCGGTGAATGGAGGCTGCGGAGATAAGTGGAGCAGAGAAGCTAGATCACAGGAGAGGCTGACATAAAGACAGTGAAGAACTTGGCCTGAGATGTGCATACTTACCTCCTGGCTGGTGTGCAGCAGTAGGGGCTTTCGATTCTAATACCTCTATTCCAGCTGAGGTGACAGCTGCAGGAACCGTTTACCTGGAATAATAGCTATTACATTACCTTCTGCTCCAGGACAGATGTGCCTCTCTTTATCAAAATCAAACTTCTCTGCAAGGGTTTAAGCTCTGCCCGCCAAGCCTTCACACTCCTCTGTCCCTCAAATGCATCACTCACTGCATTAGTTTTTATTCACTGATTCAATAAATACGAAGAATGAGTGCCAACTATGCCTGGCACTGTTCTGGGCACAGGGGATGCAGTAATGAACATGAACAACTGAACAAAACATTCTGCCCCATGGGGCCTACATCCAAGTGGAATTCTATACCCAGTCCTTATTGCCTACATTCACTACAATGACGGTGGTTCTCTTTTTTTTTTTTTTTAATATTTTTATTGATTTCAGATAGGAAGGGAGAGGGAGAGATAGAAACATCCATGATGAGATGTTTCTCATCCTCTTGCACGCCCCCCACTGGGGATTGAGCCCACAACCCAGGCATGTGCCCTTGACCAGAATCAAACCCGGGACCCTTTGGTCCGCAGGCCGAGGCTTTATCTGCTGAGCCAAACCGGTTAAGGCGAAGGTGGTTCTTTAAGAATGTCATAGCTTCATGGTATCTTGTTGGGGTCCAACCCCAGCAGGTCCAGGGGTTCCCAAAGCTGTGGACCGAGTTGGCGAAGAAGGAATGACACGGAGACAGCGTTCAATTGATTAGCAGCCTAGCCAGGTTCTCTAGCCAGGATCTCCAGCCAGGTTCTGTCTTTTATTGTCTTGTTACATCTGTATTTATACCAGTTGATTTTAATCCTGTCAATTTCTATTCCAAAGGTTAGGGCGTTTCTTATCTCCATTCCAGGGAGTAAAGATTATGTAGCTTAAGGATGATTGTTCCTAGTTAAAGTGATTAACTACCTGCCTGGAATTTAGTTAAGGGTTTTTATTCACTCTCTAACTTCAGGGAAAAATCCCTACCTGGGGAAACAACCTTTCTCGGAGAAGTGACCTTGTTTAAAACACATAGTGCCAAGAAGGTGAGCAAACATATTAAGAACAGTATGCCAGTACGCCATATACGCTTGAAACATATGCTGTGCAGATGTTTCTTCCCTGCAGCGACTGTGTCAAGCAGCAAGGATGGACCGGCTTCCAGCAGTATCTCCTCCATGACCTAAAGTCTTCAAGGGTAAAAGCAAGCTTTCTAATTTTTCAAATCTACTTTCTCCATCTAAGCACTCAATTTAGTGTTGGGCCCACAATACTCAGGAACTGCAACAAATCCTTCATGTAGGGAAAAAAATAGGAGAACCGGAAATACTTTCAAAATATGCTGTCTCCCAGCTTCCATAGGACATTTATGTCCATTAGTCCGATTGACTCCTCCGTAACCCTAGAAGGAAATCCGGCAGGAGTCATGATCTGTGTTTTTATTAAAGAGAGAATGGAGTTAAGAGACTGGGCTCTACACACAGTTGGTAAGGACCCCACACAAAGTAGCCAAAGGAATGCCAGCCTTAGCTGAAGCTGCCATAAGGCAGTGAATGCCCATGAAGAAGATGGGCAAAGATGAAACCCTCAGAGAGGATCTAGGTACAGGCTGAAGTGTTTAGGCAACTGATCCCTTGGGGATGTGGCTGGGCACCACAGAACTATCACCAGCAGAGCCAGCACACAAACACAAGGTTGCAAACCGACTTTGAAACCCCAAGGTGGCAAGTAACGCTCCCTACCAAGCACAGGTGTAGCGAGGCCCCACTGTCAAGAAGGGCAGGAAGTCCCTCCCTTTTAAAAGTGGAAGTGAGGGTAGCCTGGCCCCAAGGAGAAGCTCACGTGGCCAAAAGAGCAGGTGGATCCCGGATGCTGCTGCCGCTGCCCCAGTAGCCAAAGTCAACCTCATGACTCAGGAGAGGCAGGTCTTCACAAAGGCAGGCCATATGCCTGGGGGGACGGGGTGGCAGCAAGAAGCCACTGGGCCAGGGAGGGTGGTGGTACTGTAGTCCCAAAGTCCATGAAAGTTACAAGTATCTCGTGTGCCATCCATGTTCAATGACATGACAATCTGCAGGGCATTTTCGGCTTCCGTCCCCAGTGCCACCCTGCTCAATTCAGATTTTACCTCCAGGCTCAAAAGAAAAATTTCTATCCCTTAAAATTTATAACCACCCAACACCTAGTTTTTAGCCACCTTCAGGTTGACACAGTAAGTATGTGGTATTGATTTTGGAAGGCCTTTTAAGGGATACAAATGTGGACCTCAAGGACCTTACAGTCTAGTGGAGGGAGGTGAAGGGAGATGTTCAGGAAATGGTTAAGTAACAAAACCAGAGTGCACATGTTAAGTGCACCAAAGGGAAGTGGGCACGCAAGGTCTACTCTGATGATGAAAGAGCAGATGACAACAGCTGGCTAGGAAAGAGGAATGAACACAGCAGGTGAGGAGCAGCACAGTGATTGAGAGAAGGATGGAAATAACAGGACCTCACGAGGTGGGTGGTGATGAGAGAAAGACAGAAAGAGTCAGGGAAGAGAGAAAAATCGAGATCAGAGTGAGGGAGGAAAGAGAGACTTAGGAACTAGGACAGGAAAGAAAAGCCAAGAGTCATGACTTATACTCTGTAAATTTGCTTAAATATTGAAGGATTTTTTTTTCTTTTTAATCCTCATTGGAGGATAATTTTTCCATTGATTTTTAGAGAGCGAAAGGGAGGGGGGAGGAGGGGAGAGAGGAGAAACATCATGTATTGCCAGGAAGCGGGGAGGGGTGTGGGGAGCAAATCTGCAACCAAGGTATGTGTCTTAGACCCTTTGGTCAGCTGACCGGTGCTGTAACCAATGAGCCAAACCAACTAGGGCATACAGTGGGGCCTTGACTTAGGATTTTAATTTGTTCCGTGACCGAGCTCATAACTCAAATTACTCGTATGTCAAATCATTAAAGTGAACGAGTGAGACACGTGATGCTGGGTTGATGTTGTGGCGTTCACTGTGACGTTCGCTGCACCAACTAGCGGTGGGGTATCTGAAGCTGGCTCGTAACCCGAATTTTAGCTCGCAACTCAAAGCAAAAAATCGGCAGAGAAACGGCTCATATCTTGAAAAACTCGTTAGTTGGGACACTCGTAAGTCAAGGCCCCACTGTATTGAAGCATCTTTACTAAAAACTTTAAAGCTAGAGATCAGAAACAGTATATGTGCCAAACACTGAGCTTTAAGACAATGTTTCACTTTGAGAGGTATTTTTCCAACTTTATAGATGAAAAACCAAGGCTCTGAGGAGTTCATTAAGACTGATTAGATAGTAAACATTCAGTCTCTGATCCCAGAGTTTTGTTTTTTTTAGGATATTTTTTCCATTGATTTATAGAGAGAGTAGGAGGGAGGGAGGAGAGGGAGAGAAACATCGGTGACTGGTGAAAGAGACACAACTGGCTGCCTCCTGCATACACCCCTGCTGGGGCTGGGGAACCTGCAACTGAGGTACGGCATATGCCCTTGACCAGGAATCAAACCTGCGACCCTTTGGTCCAAGGGCCAATGCTCTAACCATTGCCAGGGCTGATTCCAGAGCTTTTTAACTACTTACTGGTTACGCTATCTCCGGGGATCTTAAAAACCAACTTTTTTTTTTAAATCCTCACCCAAGGATATTTTTCCAGTGATTTTTAGAGGGAAAGACAGAGAGAAATAGCAATGTGAGAGAAACACGTCGATTGGTTGCCTCCTGCACGTGCCCCAACTAGGACCCAGGCCAGGGAGGATCCTGCAACTGAGGTATGTGCCCTTGACTGGAATTGACAGGCAGATGCTCTAGTCTAGCCACTGAGCCAAACCGGCTAGGGCTAGACCAACTTCTTTATTTTGGTTCAGACCTCCACTTTTTGGGACATCCCCACTTCTCCTTAACATTTAAGGAGTGCAGAAAAATTGAAAATAATTTAGTTGACGAGACTACAGCGTTCTCTTTTCACTCACTGAAGTCTCACAAAAGAAGTTGGTGGTCTGGAGTTTGACTCTCGGCATTTGTTGGGTCTTAGCTTTGCTCAAGAAGGCAGAGATTTGTTAATACCTTATTAAGGCACCAGCTTGTTCCAGCCAGGGATGCTCTACTCAATGATTCTAGAAGGAATTTTTCTTTCCTTCTTCTCATCTATCACTCTCCCCTTCTCCCTGCCATTACAATTGAAGCGGCCTTCTTGGGGACTTCCCCAAGCTCTATTCTCCTTGAAAATGGCCTTTTTTTTTTTTTTAAGGACAAAACAGTAAACCATATGATATACTCTTGCCAACCACAGCCATTGTGATTGTGGGGGAATCACTAGCCATCTGCTTATCTTTTATCTCACCCTGCACATCTGCCTTGGAATATTAACAAAGCTGGCTTGTGGAGAAACCATTGTGTATGTCTGTCTATTTTTTTATTTTTTAAAATACATTTTTATTGATTTGAGAGAGGAAGGGAGAGGGAGAGAGAGATAGAAACCTCAATGCTGAGAGAGAATCATTGATCAGCTGCCACCTGCACACCACCTACTGGGGATTGAGCCCGCAACCTAGGCATATGCCCTTGACCGGAATCGAACCTGGGACTTTTCAGTCCACAGGTCGATGCTCTATCCACTGAGCCAAACCTGCTAGGGCTGTGTATGTCTCTTTAAACATCATTTCTCCCATTGCAGACTAGTCAACAAATGGTTTTCAACTGGAAAAGACCTGACTGCAATCGGACAAACCTTTATTTGCGGTCCTGTCCCAAAATAAGTATTAACTATTATTGTTCTTGGATTCTTCTTAGGTTTCCTCCCAGCACACTCACCTGAGTTAAACCTGTAGAAGGCACTTGTTTGCTGAAGGTGAGCAACTCAGATAAGGACTAATTAGTTAAGGGGCTCTGGACCTTAAGATAAAGGGCAAGACCAAGTTGACCTACAGCAAGAGGCCTCCTTCTCTCTGTTTGCCCCCCAAGTATCCGGTGGGCTACAGGGATGAGTGGAAAGAAAATAAAAGCACTTATTCTGCAAATAGCAATGAGGCCCAAGGCTTCCTTAATCTGACAAATGACAAAAATCTTTCCAACTTAACAAAATAAACAAGCTGCTGCATTTTTCTATACCTACAGAGACCCAGATGCCTACGGGATCACATCTGGTGGTGCCTGTGTGGGAGACTTGTAAATATCGACTGTCGTTTGAAAGACTTAAGAAGAAGGCTGTAGACCCGATAAAGTTTTGGTAAAGACCTTGCTATCAGTGCTCTGAAAACCTAAGAAGTCTGAACAAAACTGCTATCAAAGACTATTTCCCAACGACTGCAATGCAAGAGGGTGATACCATACGAACAAATCTTCGCTTGTGAGATGCTGCTGTTGCAGAGGGCTGCCCTCCTCTCCGTGAGAGTGGCCGTGCAAGCTCCGAGTGTCTGTCTTTAAAACGATACCTGGCACTTGAGCTTGTCCCGGAAGGATGTTGTGAAACCAGGCACAGAATGTCCGTAAAGCTCCCAGAGTTTGCATGCAGGAAAGCCCAGAGTGGTAATAAATAATACCTTGGGTTTACACCGTGCTCTTACGCCAGAATGCAAACCTTGGTAGGAAGAGAAGGTACCATCATTTCAACTGTCTTTCTCCAAAGCCTCCCTAAAAGAGCGGGAGGCTGTGTTTGCCGGTGGTAGGATTCACACTCCATGCCCTTCCTCTCCGCCCCCCCCCCCCCCATCCCCGCATCCCAGGCATCGGAGGGGACTGAGTGGGAACCAAGGCAGGAGGAGGGGACCGGGGTGCCGCCTCCCGGCGAGCGTGCCGTCTGGCCAGTGGTGCGGCCGCGGATGCGCAACGCCCCAGCCGAGGTCCTGGAGGGGATGCATCGTCTCAACGGGCCCCAAGCACGAGACCGGCGGGGGGATGCCCCGGTCGCGGCCGGGCTGCTCGCACGGCGTCGCTCAGCTCCCTCCGGCCGGGCTCCGTCGACGTCCCCTGCCCGCCAGCCCGTCGGGCCGCTGTCGAGCCGCGGGAGCCCGTTCGTGGGCAGGGCCGGCGCGCCTCGGGCGGCCGCTGCCCCGTCGCTGACCCTCGCGCGAAGCTGCGCGCACCGAGAGGAGACATCTTCCCGGCTGGGCCTCCCGCGCCCGCCTCGGCCCCGGGGCAGAGATGCCAACCTGGGGCCGGGGGCGGCCCGCGCACCCCTCCGTGGAGGGCGCCCCGGCTCGCCGGGGGCGGGGTCACGTCCCACCCGGGCCGCCGGGGGCACCGGCGCTGCGGAAACCCGAGCGTGGCCGAGGAGCGGGGGCTTCCAGGGCCACCTACCCGGCGCCTCGGGCCTGCTGTGGGCGCGCCGGCTCCCGCCGCGCCCGGGCCGTCGCGGAGACCACGGGGGCGCCTGGTACCTGTGGACGCCCTTGCCAAGCGCCTGGAGTCCCCCCCGCCGCCCCCGGGTCGCCGACACCAGGACAGACATGCTACTCCCGGTTCCTGCCCCTTCGGAGCGGCGAGGAGCGGGTGAGGCGGGGCCAGGCCGCTGCACCGAGAAGCGCCCCCCGAGCCGAGGGCGGACGGGTCCCGCGGCGGGGGCGCCGGGCCTGCCCGGGGATGGCGGACAGGTTGGCTTCGGCCCACTGGCGGGCGCAAGGGGAGGGCAGCAGACGGGGAGGCGTCCCTTCCCCGCGCTCCCTCTCCGTGGGCAGGCCCGAGCGGGGCGCCCAGGTCGGGTTGGCCGGGCCCAGCGTCCTGACCCCGGGAGACCCCGCTTTGAGGCGGGCAACGGCCGCCCCGGCCCAGGCCGCCCGGACCGCAGGTGGTGTGACTGTGACCGGCTGCCTGGGGCGGTTGCAGGGGAACCAGGCGCTGCTCCCACTGCTGGGGGGTGGTTGTGCTTTGTGGGGGGTCGGGGGTCACCACCCTCCGGGGAGAGGTGGGGGAGGGCCGCGGGCGCAGCTGGCCGCGAGGGGCGGGGTCACAGAGGCGAAGTGTACGTGTGTGTCTGTGTGTTAGAACCAGGCGTGGGGGGGGAGAGCGCGCGGAGGAGGCACCGTGGCCTGCGCGCAGGCGCGAGCAGCGGGCCGGCCCGAGCTCTGGAAGGAAGCCCGCGGGGAGTGGGGGCAGCGGGCCTGAGAGACGGCCAGCAGCCGACGCGAGGGGGGGGCAGGGAGCCGCGTCGGCGTCGCCGGGCGCGGGCGTTTAGAGGCCGACGCTTCCGCGCGTGCGCGCGCCGGCGGAGTGTCCGCGTAGAGGAGAGTGACGCGTGCGCGTTCACGTGCGCCCGGGAGAGCGGTAAGAGCGTAGGGAGGCTTGAAGGGGAGTGGGGGGTGGAGAGGCGAGCCGGAGGAGGGGTGGGGAGGCGGCGCCTGCGCAGTGCGCCGCGGAGGAGCTGTGTGTATGTGAGAGTCTGACGGGTTCAAAATGGCGGCGGCTGCTTCAGCGGCTCCTCCTGTGTGAGGGAAACAACACCCCTCCCCGGCATCAGCGGCGGCAGCAGCGGCGGCTGCGGCTCGCAGAGCACCTTCCCGGCGGCTGGGCCTGTCGCCGCTCTGTCTATTCTGGGCAAGGGGCGCACCGGGAGGAGGAGCAACGCCAGGGGGCCCATCCCCCGGAATCCCTTCTCTGCGACTGGGGAGTAACCGGGGGCTTGTCCCGCAGCGCGGAGCCCGGGCTGAGGGGGAGACGCGAGGGGAGCCCGGGCCCCCAGCTCGGCGCGCCTTGCCGCTCCCGCCCTCTCTGCCCCCCGGGGCCGGGGCCCGCGTTCCGGGGGGCCGGGGCGGCGCGGGGAGCCTCGGGCCGGCCGGTCTCAGCTGATCGGCCGCCGATCTCGGGCTCCGGAGACGGTCAGGCGGCTGCTGGCCGCGGGCACGGCGAGGAGGGTGCTTCCCGCGGCCGGGGCCGGCCCGGGTCTCGGGCTCCGGCTGCTGACCGCTGGCCCGGGGGAGGCGGGGGCGCCCCGGGCTCGGCGCCGAGGGGTCGCGCTCCCCTCTCCTGACGCCTCCGACTCCCGGTCTCCAAAGCCAGAAGAGGAGGTTTGATTCAGCAACTGTTTCCTCTCTTTTCCGGGTCGCTCTGACCCTCTCTGGATACTGGGTTGATCCACGGGGGAAAAAAAACGAAGACGACGATTGGGATTTAATTTTTTTCCTCTCAGTTTTTGGAATCTTTTACTTTTGGTCAAGAACTCAAGAGCAAAACCCCCGGTGAGATTTCCCTCTCTACCCTCCCCCCCTTTGGAAGTTTGGTTCTCTGTGTTATCTAAAGACTTAATGTAAAGTTTCTATTTCTTTTTCCGATGGGCGAACCATTGAAACGCCTTTCCCGGGGGAGCCGGGCGCGATCTGCCGTTCTCTGCTCTCCGGCCCCGGCTGCTCTCCAGCCCTGGCGACCCTCGCCCAGGGGGTGCAAACGCGGTTCCCCCCCGGCGGGGGCGAGGGCTTCCCCGGAGAGCTCTGCCGCGGACTGTGCGCACCAACTGTGTCACCGGGTCCTCTGGTCTCGCAGCAGTTTTGAAAGGATGCTATTAACGTGGCGGTAATGTAGTTAGGAAAACAAATCTGCATTCCCTATGGAAGCCATCATATAAGAGTGTTTAGAAAAACAGAAAAACCGTTCTTGGTATGATGGGTCCGTTGCGCAAACCTGTCTTTACTTAATTTTTGGAAAAGATGTATTATATCTATAGGTAGAACCGTTTGTTTTTATTTATTTTTTTTTACCCAGAAGTATCTGATGGAATTTTTGTTCCTGATGTGCAACTCTTGAATTTCAGAGTTGTACACATCTTGGGTTCGGTTTGGGAATGAAAAGATCCTTAGGAAGGAAGATGAAGATTGTTGCTTTCTAGAGGGGTATGGGAAAGTGTTTTTGAAGTCTTTCTTCAAATCCTAATTTCTTGTCCTCTTTTTATATGGTTAGTCTGCCCTTCCCTCTAGTTTCTAATTACCAGTGAGAGAGAACTAATTTGGTTAGGATCTGGATTACTTCAGTACCTGCTCCACCTGGTCAGTGCGCGCCCCCCCCCCACCCCCCCCCCCCCCGTTTAAAAAAAATTTTTTTGCTAATGCTGCCATGAAGGGGATCCTTGCTAATTGTATCCTGTGGGGAGAAACAAGTGGTGTGGCCCGACCACAAGGAACTGAAACCAGCATCTCCTATTGCTTAGGCCTTGGACTGTTGTAATTTGATTAATGTTGGTCATGACATGGAACCACTTGCCCAAGAGCAGAGAGGTCCCAAACAGATGAAGAGGAACCAGATTTCTCCGAGAGCCTTTAACTTACACATATTTTAAACACTTTTTTTCCCGTGGAAGGAAAGGTTGAGTTTGAGTTCTCATCACTGCTCATATCATTATTCTTCAGTGTTGCAATCAATCTGGTTCCTAAGGAGGAAGAGGAAGGCAGCCCTGGAGTGGTTTCTTTACAGTAATTTCAACAGAAAGAGTGAGAGATGGAACCCGAAGAAGAAAGGATTCGTTACAGCCAGAGATTGGTTAGTATTTTCTTGTTATGTTTTTTTTCCAGTTTTGACGTAGAATAACTATAATGTTTCCATTTGTGAACATACTGTGATTACAACTTTTCAGGTGGCTTTTCTGTACACTAGAGGAGGAGAGAAGGTATATTATGACTACCTCATTTGGGTTTTAGGCCATGTAGTTAGAACCTTCATATTCATCTTGTTTGGAAATGTGGTTATATGTAGCCTTTAACTTCTATAGAAACCATTGTAAATCCGAGGACTTTTTGGATTACAACTTTCAAGGATTCCTAATTTTGCAATACTGACATTGTAATAATTCAAATTAAGTTAGAATGTAAATTTCAGAGGCAAACCTGTTTGAGGAAGGATAGTTTGATATAGTTTTTTAAAGATTTTGGTGTGCCAGGTTTTGTGGCCTTGAGCTGGGGAGTAAAACTATTGAGTCTTTATCTTTTTTTAAACAAATTAATACTTGGATAGGTTTGGAAGGAAGGGGGGGATTGAGAAAAGGTAAAATACTGGCTGCTGATGAAGTTCTGTATTTTGGGAGGAATGTATGATACATGACATCTTGTTGAAGGAAAGTTTTACTTAGTAATGTTTTGGAGGCAGTTAGTTTGTATGTGCATATGAAGATGCATGCGCTCCTTTAGGCCCTGCTTTCTTCTCAAGGTTTCCCTATTGGACTTTAAGAATTTGATTTCGCTTCCCTAGTCAGAGAGCTTTATTAATATTCTCACCATATATTTATTTCAGAAATTTGAATTTGTCTTTGTAGAGTAGGGTATGAGGAAAGCCACAAAATTGTATTTATTACGTGAAATTTGGTGAATTGAAAGACCTAGAAGACACTAAAGGAATTTATGGTGGTTTTATTTGGCTCTGTGTTTTAGACTTAGTTTGGAGGGGGAAAAGAGTAATTCTTTAATCCATTTGTTGATGATCTCCACTCTTTTTGAGAAAAGACTACATTTTTTTCCCCTTGATGTGATTGGTAAAAAGATGTGGAGTGTATTGGCAAGTATATCCAGCAGGTATGTGTTCTGGCAAGCCTTATTTCAGAGACTTGCCTCTTCTAATCCATGTGTTGAGATTATATTTCTTTATCTTTAACTTTTCAGAGTAAAGTGTATCAGTAGTGGAATTTTGTACATTTAGGAATTATTTTGTTTTGACTTTTCTTGAATTAAACTTTCTTTGGGAAAAAAAG